TAAAACAACACAGAAGTCAACAAGTGTTTGACATTACTGGTGGCAAGAGAGGTGCCCAAAAGTCTCTGGGGAGAGGTTGAAAAAAGTTGGTGGTGCTTTGCTTATAATTGCAAGGAAATCGGCAATATCCTAAAACATTGGAGTAACCATATGAATTTCATATCTCTTTTTGGATTGTTATAACTCTAGAAGAATTAGACATATAGGTAGAACAAAAGTAAGATCTGCTTGAAGTGATTGACCTGACCTGCTACTTATATATTGTTCACAATGTCTAACAAATTTCCAAATACGAAATATTGATGTTGTTTAAAAGAGGAGACTGAGCAAAGTAGAAATTTCAAGATTGATGACATAGTAATATAGTAACGTATATCATCACACTTGAATCAGGTACTTACAGTGGTAATATTTTCCGGTTGACCGAGCATCTACCATGACATTGCCAATCTGTTCAGAGTAGATCTGCATGAGAGACATAGACCACGTGAGAAGCCTCTCCGAGATGGAAGTACAATTATCTATTCTTGTCGGGTCTCTATCAAATCAGCGCATGATTAGCATCCCACATTGGCAAAATCAGCGTATAACATGATTCGAACACTTCAACTATAACACCAAAGTAAGAACAAGGAGTTCAGCATCCTACAATTAGCTAAAGTTTACCTTGCATGCAGTATCAAATCCAAAACTCACGGGAACCTCTTTGGATTTGAGATCACCGTCGATGGTTTTAGGGCATCCAATTACCCGAGTTTTCAGGTTTTTACTCCTGAATGTACCAATGCCATCAAAAGAATCAAAACATCAAGTGATAGAGTATAGGTGATAACCAATTCCATTAAGCGGTAACTACAGACAAAATCATAGGGAAAGTGTACCTGAAATTTTCAGCAAGGAGGCAAGCATTCGTATTTGAGTCATCTCCACCAATAACAACGAGGCCATCCAAGTCAAGTTTTTTAGCTGTTTCTTCAGCTTGTTTAAACTGAAAACAGGTCAGATGTCGTCAGCCTCATCTTCTTGCATAAATGATTATCCTATTCACCCAAGAGAGTGAAAAGGACGTGTCTCACCTGCTCTGGAGTTTCAATTTTGTCTCTCCCACTGCAGATCATGTCGAAGCCACCCTAATTGAAGCAAGAAGAAAAATAGTGCGAAGTGCTTAGCCAGCTTGCTCAAAACAACATTCCCTTGACAAACATGTCAACGTGCGCAGTTTCAAAATGCATGACTATGCAGTCAAAGTCTGTGATTATTTTGCAACCTACTTTTTTAGATATATGCACATAGCTTCACCATGCACAAAATAAACCAGCAGGCACCCGACTATATGTTCCAAAGGTGTCTTGAGATTACACAATTGAAATGAATAATTGGCATGTCATATCTCCCAATGGATGCCATTATTTCTTTCGTACAATCAAACAGCCTCACCTGGTTTCTGTAAGGGTATATATACTCAGGAGTGAGTTCCACATATTTGCACTTCATGATACCAGCAGGACCACCCCGGAACCCATACAATGTGCTGCCTTTTGCACGATCTTGCAAGTAATCTAGCACCAAATTTAAAATTTTAAAGAAAGTTATCATTAGAGGTCCATCTTTAGATCACTAGTGGTCCATCTTTAGAGACACAAACATCACTGAATCAATCACTTGAAAGAGGAATCACATAAGAGCATCATCAGATTATTATGATTCTCACCGAAGATTCCAGCAATCACATTGTGCCCTCCAGGAGCCTGGCCTCCCGACAAAACCACTCCTATCTTCAACTTCTGGTTTGATCCATCGGCGGCGGAATCGCCGGGCACCACCATTGCCGACGGTTGCCCAAAGAGGGACGGAAAGAGCTTCGCGATCTCCCCTGCGAACACCACCACGCACACTATCAAATCCACCGGCAACGGAATCTCATTTCCGAACAGCGCTCAACTAGCAAGCAGCAGGCGACCGAAACATATCGTCAGTCCTCAAAAATACTAAGCGCACGGTTTTCCTCGAAAAATCGCGCGCGCGCGCGCTCACAGTACAAACGAGAGCAACGCAATCCGACAACTCAGATCAACAACTCCTCGACAATCACGAAGGCGCTCTGCTCTACAGCCGAGCCATAGCCGAGGCCTCTACGCCGACACATCTCCGACACCACCCCGACGAAGAACGCTGAACCGATCCGATGATTTACAGCAAGAAAGAGAGAGAGAGAGAGAGGACCTGGATTCCCGGCGGCGGAGCTCGGGGGGCCGTCGACGACCTTAATCGAGCCCTTGAGCACGGACGGCAGGGGGAGGTCGTGATCGATGCGGCTCGTCTGGACCTCGCTGTACACGGAGGCCACGCGGCCGGTGACCGCCGGCGGGGCGGACTTGCCGGCGGCGGCGGCGGCGGCGAGGAGATCGCCGTTGAACACGAAGCTCGGCGACATCTGGTTTCGGTTTCGGTTGCACCTAACACTGAGAGACTGCGAGAGAGTGAGCGAGCGAGTGTGCGATCGCGAGAAACGCGAAATCTGGCGATATTATCTTAAGCGCCACCGAGGGGCAAAGTCGTCATTTCGCGCTTCGGCGCCCCCCGCCCGGGCGAGAGAAAGTTTGGTCGCGCCCATCGGATGGGAGGGCAGTTTGGGGATTTTCCGGGGGAAAATTGTTGGACGGTTTGGTGTTTGGTGCGCATGCGATTAGAAGATGATGATGTGGGGGGGCAATTCACGGGATTGCAAACACATAGATTTTTGCGTGTTGATCCAAATGAATAATTGATCAATCATTCAATCGTCGAGAGGCTCGATTCGGATTTCGACACTGAACAGGGCTCCACCATGTCGCCGTCACAGGATAGGTACCAATCGAGGCGCCGGGCGCCAATCATTGCCCGATGTGACGCCGGCGATAAACTCGATCCGGATGGGGAATTACTCGTCGCATCGCTCGAAAGAAATTGGGTTTGTTCAGTTCTCAGAGCTCGGTATCCGGACAGTTCGGTCCGTCCATGCATACCGTTTCGATCTAACGCGTCGATTTTACGGAACTAGCTCCCTTGTTATATGGATGGGCTAATTGTGATCTATCCATTCTTATTTTTATTGCCATGGTTCATGGGATCGGTTCGGATCATGATCTGTGTGGTTCAGTGCTTACCTAACCTTCCTACTCTTGGGTTGGTATGGATTTGAGGCTTTGGTAAGCGAGGCAGGGAATATCCCATGAGGATATTATGACATAAGATTTCTCTTTGAGAAGAGGGTTAGCTTGTGGGTTGATTGCCTAATTGGTCAGGATGATGCTTATTAATGAGATATTCTTTCTTTAATGGAAAAACTGCCTCTATGGTGATAACTGGGGATGGGAGAGATCTGGTGGGTATATTCCATGTCTAATTGAGGTGGATTTGGGTGGGCCAAATCTAAGGTGAGATGTTGCTTTTTCCCCTTTGTTGGGATGAGCCCAATGACAAGGATATGTAATTTGGTTCTTGGTGGCCTAGTGGAAATCACGAAAGATTATAGTATTTCTCGATTGAGCTTCATTTAATTGGAATTTCATGGTTCAGTTGAGGTATCATGCCACAGGTTTTGTGACATTGTTCTTGTGAATGTCCTTTTCTATTAGCCCATTAGTATCTTGAATGGGAGGACGAGAGGCTGGGGCATCTTCTCATTGAATTTGGGACAAGAGGATGCAAATCTCAAGAGCTACTACCGTTGGTAAAAAGGGTTGGGTTAAGAAAGAGATTGGTCTCTAACCTCGATAGCAACTATGCAACTGAAAAATCAAGTAAATTCGATCGATGCCGGCGGTCACTAAACTTTTAGTGAGCTTTACCATTACGTCATTAAACTTAGATTTCAATCATTTGATAAACTGAATTTGTCATTTTTTGAAACATTCTTTGACCGAACTTCCGCCAATTTGTTGAGGTGCTAACGGGACGGCCATGTTGTGATGTTTAGCATGGATATGCTTTGACCGAATTTCAACCATTATTCCGTACATGTCCGCTGCCACGTCGGCACTTCACCGGAAAAGTTGATCGAATTCCGGCTGAAGTGTGCCGTCGCTATTTCTTTCCCGGGTCTCCTTTCGAAGTAAATGTTTAGTGCATTAGGTGACTGAAATCAAAGTACAGTAACCTAAATGGAAATCCACCAAAATTCAGCAATGTCATCCTAAATCTTTTATGTAATCGATCACTCATTCAAGACACAATGAAAAGATCCACATATGATAAGCCTTTTCATGGTTGGCCCTTATAGATTGTATCCGGTAGGAATTGGCCCAAGACCTCCACTATCTTTGAAGGTCTTCGCTTGAAAGTTCTGTGTACACCATTGTTCCTTAGAGTCTAGCGCGAAATATATTTTACTTCTTAACATTGACCGTTTGCTCTTAAGAAAATTTCATATAAACGCCAGAAATGAGATCATTTAAAAAAAAATAAGAGTTTAAAGTGAATTTTGTTTCAAATAAGAGCCTGAAATAACCAAGTCAGTCTCAAATAACGATCTGAACTCGCCAGCCGACCAAATGTTTGCCGGTAGGCATTTCCCGGCGAGTAAAACAGGGGCAATACTATATGAAATTCGCAATTGGGTGAAAAATGAAGAGGATCCTCAAATTGAATTGGGATCGGGTCCTTCCATCAAATTTTCACGTTTCCTCCTTCTTCATCTCCCTCTGCTCCTCTAGCAAATCGCTCTCTCCCCGAGATGATCGAGCTTACTCATGAGGCAAAATTCCTAGATCAAATCGCAAATAAAACAGCAACAACACTAGGGGATGTTAACTAAGCACCATTTGATTCGAATGTGGCTTATTTCAACTTTCTAAACTCAACAAAATTCCCCTTGTAACTACTACTCAAACCCTAAGAGTAAGAGCTCCACTAATCCTATTGTTTTCAAATCAACCACAACTTCCACAAAAGCATGCCACCAACCCCTACCCTATAAAGGGAATTAGATACTTTGAGATTTGTCCACACCATCATCACAATCCCCATTAACAATCCACATCCCCTCCAATCCCCTCGAAAAGCTTTTCTTCTCCCAACCACAGCTTCAACTCCTTTTGAAGGACATGTACCACAAGATACCAACTCGAGACACAATGATTCCCAATGAGACCCACTTGCTAATTTTGCTCATAAATGGTTTGCTTCTGCAAGAACTCGCTCAGAAAGTTTTTCCTTCATGACTGAGAATGAGGTGCTCAAGGCCATCCATGAAGCAGAGGCTTAAGAGTAGAGGGTGTGAGTACCTGTGTTGCAGTTGCAAGCTCAGTGTTTCCTCATCGGGGGAGGCTGATGAGAGCGATGATTCGGACCGGATCGGTACAATCTCGAGCGTGGCACATGCCATGGTTCAAGAGCGACTCGACCAGATGATAAGCGAGAGGCAAGAGGCGAGGCGTGCAGAGCAAAGGAGGCGAAGAACGGGAAGGACTGAATTCATTTTAATAGTCGCCGTAGAGATGGAATCTTATGATCCTATGCAAGATTTCAGAGACTCCATGGTGAAGATGATAACATCAACTGGAATCGTAGACACGAAAGGTCTTCGGCGACTATTGGATTGGTACCTCTCTGTGAATTGTGAGGAGAGCAGGAGTATGATATTGGAGGCATTTCATGAGGTTTGCTTTAACTTGTTTATTAGGAAGTAAATGAAATTGATGGACTTGTGGATTGTCCAAAGTGTAGGCTCATGCCAACAAGCCTACATTTAAATCATATTTGCATGTTGAAATCTTTTGCTAAGAAAGAGAGGCATCCTGGTTCAAACACAAACTTAACCACATGGGCATGCATGCAATGAAATCCATAAGTAACATCGAGTGGAAACCAGGTGAGGTCCAACAATATTAACTACTTGGTGAATAATGTTTGAATCAAACAAGAAATAGCACAGCCGTTCGGATGATAGAGAAAATCAACTTGAAAAACAGCTATTCGAGTCTATCAAATATACGCCCGTGCGTCGTTTAATCAGCAGACCAGCACACTACAGATTGAAAGATTATCACCAAAAAATATTGCACAGCTGCAGAAAGAAACCTTTGCACCTGTCTAGATTAGGTAAAAAAAAAAGGAAGACCATTATCAAACTTACAAATACTCTTTTAGCTGGCTATTCCAGAACAAGCATTATTGGTGTATATATATGTATAAACAACAGAGATGCTGTTGCTTCATGGATTATTGATCAGATTCATCGATTCATGATCAGGAAACCTCATCATCCTGAAGATGAATATTGTGCATGGGTATCTACTGAGGTTTGCAGACTGATGATATAAGTTCCTGCGTAAATTGAGTAGTCAAGGCTAGCCAGATTTGAGGTCATTGATCCAAAGGAAAAAAACCATGGGTTTGTCCAAAATCAATACATAATCAATATTAAGTAACTGAGGAAGTCGAGAAGGTAAGGCTTTGAGACAAAGAATTAAATTATTTCTCTATCCTATTTAAAACTCCTTTAAACTTTTTATATATAACTCATCCACATACACCACAGTTTCAAACATAGATATTCACTCAAACAAAGTACGTTGATCGCTAAAAGGAGTCTTCACTTTTAGTCATTTACGGTGACAACAAGGAGCTACCTTCCTTGATAAGAACAAAGACGCTTCCACCATCTCCCCTTGAGATACGGAGTTCTTCATCGAGGTAGGTGGTCAGTAGCCATGACTCGGCATTGCTGTTCGAGAGAGAGAATTTGATGGGCGGTTGGCTGGAGATGGTCTTTGCAACAGAGGAAGCAGTGTCCTGAACAGAGTTAATTAAACCTTTGAAAGGAGTGAGGTCAATCTTTTGTCCCAGAAACTCGACATTCTCCGGTAAGACAATTGAGTCCGTGAGCTGCGGAGTTCCAATGATGCCTTCATCGAACTTGATCTGAAATAACAGAGGAGAATGCATGACTGCCGTCTCTGCATGAAGGTAGGTCAGAAACTTATTGACCAAGGAAGATCCAACTCTTGACAGCTAAAGATGTAGATTCTCCAGGAGTAGTTTGCGGGCTGTTTATACATTTAGCCATCTATCTCTTTAGGGAAAACTTTACTTTGTGTTATTGCACTTTCACACTTTTTCTAATCAAATCCCTCTGACATCGAATAGAACTAAATTCAACTAACATGGCCATCAGACATCACCAGTATGATGCGGACAAAATATTCGGATGCTCATGTGCACGCGTGTGGAGAAATATAGCCAATCTGAACAACATCAGAAGATGATGTGGATTTAGTCCATGTGACACTACGACGTCATTCGATGGCCACGTCAGCTGCATCTGGCCGGATTTGGGGCAAGAGGAACTTGATTTGAAAATTTGTGAAAGTAGAATAATTGGATTAGATAATTTGAAAGTACATGGCCTTGATCAGAAAAGGCATCAATATACAAGGCCGAAAAGTAGAATTTTTTCCATTTTTTATGCTTGTGTTTCACATATTTTGTCTTTTGTCATTTTGGTTGACATTTTTATTAGCGCAAGTAACATGAAGCACTTTCGGTCCGGTATTTAGTTTCACTTGAGTGAAAAGCAATTTTTGCAGTTCCCTAATTTCCTTTGGCAAATAACAATTGAAACCCCTCATATAAAACGACCCTAGAGTTTTATCAGAGAGAATAACATTTAGGATCCAAGAATGAACCTGCACGCGCTTGGGGCTTCGGACTTCAAATTTGGCATTGGTGCTAAAAGAAGTTGTTGCCAGTGGACCAGAAAATTGGACAGAGTTCTGGACAGTGAAATTCTCCGAATCAATGGTCTGAGATATCTCCTCCACCTTCACCAATGGCAGGGTACCCCTTGCCAACAATGGAAATAATTGCGCAAAAGAGGTGTACCTGAAACCATATAATTTAGTTGAAATCATCATATACCTATGTGCACTTTGAGAGACAGCACAATGTCTATATGCAGTGCAAAAATGAATGGGCACCCAAGGAAACAGCTAAAATGAGGTAAAACCTCAAAGAGGATAATTGGAGAGACAATAGTTGATCCTTTGAAACACTTTGGGAAACAGCAGAAGACAAATGGAACAAGTGCATGCAATGAACAAGCACATATGTACGAAGACACACAAATTTCATCTCTGCAAGTAAGCATTTAGGTCTTTAAACACGGAATTGGCAGCACACGATACCGATTAGTAGATCAACACTTTAGATTCCTCTGACAAACTTTCTTGGTGCCACTGCTATCACAGAACTAGAACTTGTTTTTAGTCTTGGTTCATCATTTAAATTGATGAAAGTATGTAAAGCAAGTAACTTGAGAAAAGTCTGCAACTTGGAACAGTTTCTCCGTATTTCAGCCTCGTCAGATGTCATTGCTATAAGGTACATTTTCTTAAAAAAATCTCAATCATGAAGAAAAGTTTTGAGCTACAGAAATTATGTCCACAATCTTAAGAGACATCTCATTTGGAAAACACGATAAAAGCACTATACTCGAGCTGAGACAATAGGATTCAACACCATGAGTTCAAAACAAAGCAGCAGACACAAGTATCGACTATAGCAGCTACATGAAGGTCAAAGGAAAAGGAAAAAACTAAGACATGAGCCAAAACTTTAAGGAAAAACGTTCGGCACTTGGATCTTGTTAAAGATATGAATGGTTCTACACAAAATGAACTGTTGAGAAAGGATCATTTAACCAACCACCTGTGGAGGAAAAGAGCTTATGTGTTATTGTTGTAGACTAGCTCCACGGCATAAGCACAATAGTCTTACCGTGCTAGAATTTGATGAGATTTTATTTACAGCTAAGCTAAGCAGTATAATTTCATCAGAACTTAAGCAACCGAACATAATTCCAAACATGATGGCCGAGTTTTGTCCTTTTGCTAGTCTCGCAGTACATGACTCCAATATGATGTGATCTGGTACCCATTCTCTGTTTCTTCCTTTGAGATAGTACAGACCATGTTAAAATAATGGTACTGGTAGATAGTGACTCAACACTTTTTAGTTTTGCCCACTGGGTTTAGTTGTCTTGCTACTTCCAGTAAATACTTGTCGAATTTATTATACTTTCTGGACATGGCATGTGAAACTAAAGCCGAGTTGAATAGCCAAACTTCTTCCAGATCATTTATTACAGATCACATGATCAACCTGATAGTTCTCACATGAGCAGCCAAACCATACTAACCATCAAAACTAAGGTTGGATGAGCTGCTTTCTAAAGTTTCCAGTTTCCATCTTTTCCTGAGAGTTTTCTGCAATCTTTTTGTTTGTTCTTGTGATTTTACTCCAAAGCTCCTAGAATTCACATTCAATATTTCCTCCTAAATTATTCTTCAGTATTTGATTGAGTAACAACGTACACTTGAACTCAGCTAATGCATTTACTGGTCAAGACAAAGACCTTTTTTTTTGTTTTGGTCGAATGTTAAGACAAAGACTAACCACGATCAAGAAAGTCACAAAAGAATTCCCACTCATCAACCAATCCAAATCAAACAAAACCCGAAAAAAACGAAACTTACGCAAGAATCCACTTCCCGTTGAGCATCGTCAGGGCCTCCGTCGGAGCCGGGGTCGGGTTCCGCGCCTCGAGCTGCGTGATCAGCTCCACGATCTCCGCCCTCGTCTCGCTCGTCGCCCTCAACCCGCGGTCCGTCCCGTAGAACGAATCCACCAGCGCCTTCTTCAGCCCGGCGATCTCCGCCACGTCCTTCGGCGGCTCCTCCTCCGCCACCGCCACGCCGGCCCCGCCCACCGGCTCCTCCTCATCCTTCTCGGGCACCCACTCGCCGTCGTCCGCGGCCCTGACCCGGAACACGGGCCGGAAGCGACCCGGCTCGCGGCGGGGCTGGATTCTTGAATTGCCGGCGATTGCGGGGCCGGCGACGGCGAGAACCGAGGGCCTGGGGGAGAATTGGCGGTGGGGCGGCTTCGATGACAGAGACGCGCATGGGAAATGGATGAGCTGCGAGAGGGTGGACATTTTGGGGCCAAGAACAAGATTCTTGACGGTTCTTGATTTTCCGGTGAGGAACAGGGGAGGTTCTTGCGGAACAGAGCAGCGACGGGGCGACGAACAGAGGAAGGTTTTCCGTGAACAGAGCAAGGCCCAGAACGAAGGATGCGCTTTCGTTCCAAACTACAGATCCGCGACAAGACGAAGCGAATGAACGACCGAAGAGACCGACGACGATCGGAGACTTGGGAGAGTTCTAGGTTTCGACGAAGCAAAGAACCGCGTGCTATAAAACTGCCAAGATGAGATTTTGGGAAGCTCTGGCGGAAAGACGATTTTACCCCTAGTTAAGAACTCTATTTTTTCAACTCTTTATTTTGGGAGTAATTATAAAAGTTAATCGCTCTTAATTTGGTAGCAATGGATATGCTAAATCGCTCTTAATTTGGTAGTCGGTACTGCTGAGGGTCAAAAGCAGTGTATCTTTGATTGGTAGGAGGAGAAGATAAAAGATGCTGTCTTTTTTAAGTAAGAAGTCTATCTTGAATTGCAACGCTCTGAATTCATGAAATATCTTATTAATTCATGAGATTGGTAGTAGTAAAAACGTCAATCGCTCTTGATTAGGCAGTCATACTCTTTGATTGGGTTGGGTTGGGGGGCAATAGGTGTTTTTTTTTTCTAAGTAAAGAAGCTTATCTTGAATTTTAAAGCATTATGAGCTCATGAAGTATCATATTAATTCATGCAGTTGGTATAATGGAAAGGTCAACCACTCTAATCACTCCTAAACATCAATCACTTTTTGAGATTATAGTAAAAGTTTGTGAGTTTTGTTTAGATTAAAAACTGATCGGACAAGAATTTAGATTGAATATAAAGTAAGAGGTTTTTTTAGTAGTGTTTTGTACCTCCAAAGATGTTGCCATAATGATCACATGCTTATGTCGGTTTTGTTTTGGACGTACTATTAAAATTTATGGGGAGGGCGTTTTGGTCATTGCAGTGATGAGGTGGGTCCCCCAAAATCTGTGGGACCTCTCCTTGTGAGGCCTCGTGTTTTGACACATGGACTGTTGTCGAGCTAGGAGAGAGGAAAATAAAATGAAGGAAAAAGAACGAGACCATCTTAATATGAGAGGTTGGGAAATGCCTTCGTAGTTTTGTATGAATCCAGCAACCATTGTTTTGGCATGACTATGAATTCCAGAACTTTTGAGGACTCTTATGACAAATCTGATTTCTCTAACCAAGTGTTTCCAAGCACATCCACCATTCGTTTCCATTCCATATACATTACCTTCGAGGTATACATCTGGTTCGATTCGGTTCGATTCAATTCGGGAATTGGACCGAACAGACCTAGACCAATCAGTTCTAGGCCAATTCTGAGAAGAATCGGTTTGGCGAAGTTAGAACTGGTTCTACCTGAAAATCTATTCAAACCGGTTTAACTGGAGTCTCTTCTGGAAAAAGAATATTTTACACCCACCGAGAATCGAACCATGGTTTTCTAACATTAGTTAATAACATAATCACTTAATCAACACATGTTTTTGTAGTGCAGTGAGGCAACTTTATATTTTTATTACAAGAATTTGATTTTTCATAAATAAATAAAAAAACATAGACAAATGGGCCGATTCTCAGATGGAAATAGTGAATCAAATCGGAACTGGCAGTTCCCAGTTCTAATCTTTTGGAACCCAGAGTCGCGGAGTCAATTTTCTAGGTTCTAGATCGAGAATTGATCGATCTTATATAATAAATAGATGATCCAAAAACAGGACCTCGTGATATAAAGATTTTGACAAATTGTATGGTAGCTCAAGAGCTTTGCCCTTTAGAGAAACAAGAAAATATTATCAGCTAGTGTTGGAGAAGGAGAAATCCAAGTTGGAAACTTCCTATGTGAACAAGCCATCGTTTTCATCAATGATAAAGGGATATACCAAAAAACTAAATTAAATGCTTGTTCACCATTTGTCGTATTCTAATTGAACCTGATGTAGCTAAGCTACCAGTATCAAACGGATGAAGATATACGACATTATAAAATTTTACATTTCATCATAGATATTAAACTTGTTATTTTTCTATATACTTTCTTGTTAATTATATACCTACTTCTAAACTTAATTGGGCTTGTTTGTTCAGCCCATAATTTGGAAACCATTTTCAGCTGATCGGGGTGCACCATTCCGATTAGAGGTGATCAGTTTTTGGGTAAGTAAATTCCAGCCTTGGAATCTGGACTAGAACTGACCTTGTTAAAATCGGTTCCCAGCGAAACCTATCATGTTTACCCTGAAAATCGACCCTAGAGCCTAGTGTGTTTTTCCGGTCCGATTCCAAGGTCTACTTAGGAATCACTTTCTTTTTTTTCCCTTCATTTTTTTTAAAAAATCGAGACAAATAGTAATTACAGCAAACTAGTCTAATCAATAAGTTAGCCCTAAGTAAAAAAATTGATATAAAACAAACAAACATATAAAGCAATAGAGAAGTTAAGTTCATTTATTAAAAATAAATCATCTTCTTTCAACTTCATAAAACAAGTTCCAACTTGAATAAGGACCTATTTTCCATGGCCAGTTCAGTTCGATCCTAAGTAGAACCAGGCCGGTTGCACTTCCCTAGTCCTCCTGATCATGAAATTTCTCGAGATGGTCGCGGCTTGAGTGAGTGGTTTTAGGGTCCGACCCGATCCACTCAAACCCGCCAATTTTCCTAAGTAATTTCTCTTTTTTTTTCCTTAAATTATGTTGTGAACGACCTTGGGTTTGAACACTAGAAGGTTGATCCGGAAGCCCAACAAGACAATTTGGGCGTGAAAATGTTTCATAAAGGCCTGTCCCGAGTTCACACGATAGGCCCATGAATAGGTGAGAGTTCTTTGCTTCTTCATTTGGCCGAGTCTACATGGAGATTTCTTTTGTTAAAGTAAAGTTTGTGTTCAATTGGGCCTAGTCCTTGGAGAGTAAAGGCATATTTAGTCGTTCATATCGCCTGGTCCTTGAGTTATTTGTCGCTCATCTTTGCCGTCAAGTATAATTTGGAATGGGGTGATCGGTTTCAAATCAGGTCGATTCTTAGACTAGAATTGGGAATCGACCATGTGAACTCCAGATTCAAAAGATTGAAATTGAAAAACGAACCGATCGATCTTCAAACTACTGGTTGTTGTTATCTATTGAAATGTCTCACATCGTATGACTATCGGGTTTCTATACTTTTTATATATGTGTGGACTCTCTCGCCTATTAGTTTAAACTTTTGGATTTGACATTTTAACATGGCATCATAGCCAGGTTGTACACCGTTTTATTTTGTGTGTGCACCCACTTCGTCCGTCAAAGGGTGTTGAAATTGGACATTCTACTATAGGGCATATATATATATATATATATATATATATATATATATATATATATATATATGTGTGTGTGTGTGTGTGTGTTATGTGGTCTCTCACCCAATATTACCGATAACATTATTTTTTCATGTTGAAGATCATGCTTCGAATCTTGAAGGGTGGAAAAGTATCCAAAATCGATTTAGAGCCAGTTCAATCAGGGAACCGCACTGATTGAATCGGTAGTTTCTACCTTGAAATCAAGAACCGAATTGATTCTACATGAAATCGGCCTTAAACTGGTCGGTCTAGACCAAAAACCGGGCTGAATCGGATCTAATGCTTATCCCTAATTTTTGAATGCTAAACCTTGAAATATCGTTCTGCGATCTGGTGCATACGCTTCGTATCCTTCAAAATCATCGAACCCAATTGAGCTCTACATATGAACTTGACTAATCTTATAGAATCAAACATGTCATGCCAAGCTCCACATATGAAATTGGCTATGGAACCTCTCTACCACATACAAATTCCTCTTCGTGTTCTTAAGTCAATCCCAAATTCACATCTTTGGACAAAAGAGAAAGAACTGGAAACGAAAAGGACCAGACACCAACCCTCAATAGTCAATCCCAATCATTGATTCCACGATGTCATCTCATCATGATCCCCTCCCTCAGCCTGCTGTTGGGGGGATTTCTTTGACCAAAAGGCCAAAGCGGCAAGCCGTTTTGAAATTGAAAAATCTTCATGATCAGATTGGGGTCACGTCAGCTTTGGCAGGTCCAGCTTTCTTCTCCTCCCCTTTTTATAAAGGAAAAGTGATCGAGTGATTACGTACTTAACTTCAATTCCGGCGCTTTCCCTTTGGCCAAATCCCAACCCGAATTGTCCCTATTCTAATCATATGTTGTTATCCATTAGGTGCATAATTGAGTTTTACATAGATGCAAACATTATTATGGCAAATTCAAACCCAAAAGAGAGTTGATAACTATAGCTTAGATGGATGATCGGGAAAGATTGATTTCGTTGAATTAGGGGATCGGATCGGCAGTGTACGTGTGATAAGTAATTGCTCCGATTTCTTTGAGTGTATGTGTGAAGATAGCACTAAAGCCGACATCTTTTGTGAGGATGGCTTGACTCCGCCAAAGATAGGGTGATCATCAAGCTCGGTTCAATTCGAGAATTGACTGTGATCATTAAGATTTGAACAATGGTCTCCACCATAAAGAAACTAGTTTTCTTATTGGAAAGATGCAATTTCTAAATTTTATGATAAACTTGTTAGTTTTTTTGCTAAATGAAAGAAAAGTGACCAGTTCACAAGTAGATTCAAGGACTGGGAATCGCTCGGTTAAGAAATTGACCGATTCAATTTCTAGTTCCGATTTTTCAAAATTGTGAATCACAATATTGGTTCTCAATTCTAGGTTGAGAATTGACTCGTTATGAAATTGCTCACCCATAGTCAAAGAGGATCCTGATAGATTCCAACTAGATACGCGATTAGATATTTTCATCAATTTTCATACAATTGGTATTAGTGATTTTGAGCACATATTCGACGACACTTAGATTGCAAGTCGATCAAACTTAAGGTTTTGACCGCAAACTTTAACCAGATGATGATGGGAGGTGGACGCACAGGAGGCAGGCAAGAACTCACTTGGGTACCATCGACTCAGCTCGACTTGATTATATCTAAATGATTATTCGAGTTAAAGCAATATTAAGACAGGATGTTATAACTGACTTTTTACCTTTGTGATTTCCTAATTTTACTTATCACATTCGCACTAGCATGATGCATATGTATTATTCGTAAGGGTAAAGAAACACTTCTTGGTTAAGCTGTTACATAAATAGAATCAACGGCTTTCGATTATGATGTGCCGAGGACATTAGCACCAAATAACACATCAAATTGAAGGAAAGAAGCATATATGATGATCTTTTAACACTTCTTTCAATACTTATAAAGACAATGTTTGAGATTTGTAGAGACGTCGCTAAATTAATTCATTTGGTTCGCTAAAGTATCGAGGCTTAGCTCAGAACCTAGACCAACATTTTTTTCCCTAATTAACACCACAACAGAAAAACATTATAGTGGCATAACTATCTGTCTCATGATACCCAAAGAGATTAACCCTACACTAATCCTTCTTTCAAGCTTTAATCAATCTCCTAGTACATATCCTTACCTCAACAGTTATACCGGCAGAATATATCCTCAATCTACACCATTTAAAATTTATATAATTCTAGACCTTCTCACAACGTACTGGTCCATCCGGCTTTTGCAGCGCCGATCATGTGCTCGTATTGTCTTAATAAAGCGAAAAATCTTCTTGATTTCACTGAGAGTTGTACGTAAGGTATACACTAATGACCCACTAATGACCTCAGAATGATGTTGCTTCGTGTATGAAAAACCCTCAAAAGCACGAAACAAGTTGAGTTGACATAGGAAAACCTAGCTAGCTGCACATGTGTGCATGACTATACATTCACAAATTTGATATTAGACAGAAGCAACTAGTTGACATAGCTGAGTTAATTACGGAGTTTTGCGAAGTTCAATGCAAGGGTTCAACTAGCATTATTGTGTACTAAGTCATAGATAAGCAAGCAAAGCGTCATTTCGAAGGCGTCCTTTAACTTTCTTTTTTTAATCTCTTTTCTTTTTAATAAATTGGCCTCCTCACCCCATTCATTCAAATATGAAATTTTTAAATATTATTGAATCTTTTTTAGTTTCTTCAATTGTGACGTCAATATACTTATGAAGCCATTAAAATAAGCAAACAATTCTTGATACATAGTGGACTTTTTAAGGGATGATTATACAAATGGTTCATGAATTTTACTTTAATGTACAATGTGGTCTCAGAATTTTTAATTTGTTTAATGTGGTTCCTGAATTTTAACCTAATGTGCAATATGATCCCTGAACTTTTAGTAAATGTTCAATCTAGTCGCTCAATTATGTAATTCCTGGATTCAACCTAGTCCCTGGATTATCTAGTCTATGGATAAAATTGAACATGTACCAAAATTTTATGGACCGCACTGAACAGATTAAAAGTTTAGGAATCACATTGCATATTATGTTGAAGTTCATGGATTATATTGAATAAATTAAAAGTTGAGGGATCATATCACCAATTTAGATGTAATTTATACCATTTTCCCTTATCGTAAGTTTTGTTAATTATTTTGAATATCGAAAATCAAACTCCGCGAGCCCACACCCTTTGAAATAAAAAGAAGGAGAGGAGCAAGAGAGGGAAAAGCAAAACGGACGATTCCCGATTCCACAGTCCCACATGCAAATGCCGCGGGGGGCCCGCGGGAGGGCGCCACGTGGCGCGACCCTCGATTCCGGAGCCGGCTTCCGTGGCCCTCTTTGACCTCGTTTTCCGCCGGCGGAAGCTCGCATCTTCCGACCCCCGGTGACAAAGTCATCGTCGTGGCCAGGAGCGCGAAACAAGAGGAAAACGCAAGGCGGAAACGTACAAAGAAGAGGCAAGCCAAGCGAATGCCACTGTACTCGGAAGAGGATAGATAACAAGAACGAGGTCAACAGTTTCTTGTTCGCGTTTGATGTCTGAAGCTGAGCTCCACAATGTCCCGAAGCTCATCTCTCTCCCGGCTCGCTCCGTGACAGAACAGCAGGAGATGAAACCGATATAAAAGATCTCTCTCTCTCTCTCTCTCTGTCTTCCCTTCGCTTCTATTTTGTCCTTTCCTCGCTCTCTTCCAGCTTTTTATTCTCTCCTCCTCCCACGAGACAAAGCTGTGTCTGCAGGACTATCCAGTGCCCATCCTCTCTCTCTCTCTCTCTCTCTGATGAGTTAAACCAGAGGTGGGCTGTGCTGTTGCCCTCAGTTCTGTTCTGTTCTGTTCCGTGTTGTGTCATTCCTTGAAGGGACTCACGAGACTTCCACCACCGTAAGCCCCTCTTAATTCCCCTCACAATCTTCCACTGATTTTTTTTTAGTTTTGCTGCGGTACGTTCATGTTTTCCTCGAGATATAATTTCTTTAAAGGAAGAGATTCGTTTCACTTTTGGCATTCTTGATGTCTTTGGGCTTCTGGGTGTGAGCCAAGATGAGCCAACTCGGGGTGATGTTGCAGGAACCGGGCGCCGGAGGGAGGCCGTCGACGACCATCCTCGGCCTGCTGAGGGGAGAGAAAATGGAGGGCTTCGACCGGAGGAGGAGGAGGAGGAGGAAGAGGAGCCTGAAGGAGCGGCTGGGGTTGAAAGGCATGGGCTGCTGCGGCGGTCCGATATGGGGCTTCCGGACCACCACCATCAGCGTCCGGGACGACGACGACGAGGGCGACACCGAGATCCACCACCAGCTGCCCCAGCAGCCACCCCATCAGAATTCAGACCCGACCAGCCTATCGGGTCCGCAACCGGCCTTCGACCCGATCGACCGGGCCCTCGATCCGGGTTGCGGCGTGGCGGAGGCGCAGCCGGCCGGGTCGGCCATGAACCTCGCGGCGGCGCTGGCGGCGGAGCGGCAGTACAGGGCGGCGTCGCACGAGCCGGAGGGGGGGGACGACACCGCGGGCGGGGCGGGGGCCCGGCCGGACCGGACCGGGGGGCCGACCGAGCCGGGGACGCCGCTGAGGGTGTCGCTGATGAGGCTGCTGGAGGAGACGGACGGCAGCGACGGCGGGGACGGGGCGGACGGCGGCGGCAGCGGCGGCGGGGTGGTGGGGAGCGACGCGGTGTGCTGCGTGTGCATGGGGCGGAAGAAGGGCGCGGCGTTTATCCCGTGCGGGCACACCTACTGTAGGGTGTGCTCCCGGGAGCTGTGGTTGAACCGAGGGAGCTGTCCCCTCTGCAACCGCCAGATCCTCGAGATCCTCGACATCTTCTGAATCCGACGGTCCCCCACGCGCGCCTCTGTGTTCGCGATGCGTCAATTTGTGGAGGAATTTTTTATTTAATTTTTTTTCCTTTTTTTATTTTTATTTTCGATTCTATTGATTTCAGCAAAAGTGAAAAAGAAAAAAAGAAGGAAAAAAAAAAAGACATGAATGCGTCGCGGGTGAATTTGGTGTTACAAAGCTCGGGTTGGGACCAATCCCCACCAGTTCATTTGTGGGGAGGAGATGTATCGTTAGCCGTGTAATCTGACCCATGTTTGAAAATATACAATTAAATTGGATTGAAGTGATTGAAAGTGTCGAGGAAATTTGTTCGATTTCCGGGTTCTCGATGGATGAAAGAAGCTTGTGTAAGATGATGTCGCGCTTGAGAAAATCACGAGATCTTGTCATCAGTTTGTAAGCAATGCATCGATATAAGATGTTAGCTCATGAGAGAGTAATCCCTTGCAAATTCTTTCGTCCGGTCATTGATGACCTCTTAGATTGTGTATCAATATGGATGCATATCAGGACACTGCTATTCAAGATTCTAGAGAGCTACGAGTAAAGAGAACACCTTTCGGGAGTATTGACACCCACTAAAAAAAAACATGGATTTTGCCACGGAAATTTGCGACGGGAATTTTTCGTCGCTAATTTACGACGAAATTTGCGACGGAATTTTTTTTCCGTCGCAAATTACCGACGAAAATTATTCGTCGCTAATTTGTGACGGAATTTGCCACGAAATAAAAATTCGTCGCAAATTTGCGACGGAAAAAAAATCCGTCGGAAATTTGCGACGGATCTATTTTCTGTCGCAAAATCCGTCTCAAATTTGCGACGGATTCCAAAAATTGTATTGCATTTTCCAAAAATTTGCGACAGAAACAAATTCTGTCGCAAATTTTTGAGACGAAAAAAGAATCCGTCGCAAAAATTTGCGACGGAAACAAAATCCGTCGCAAAAATTTGCGACGAAAAAGAAAATTTGCGACGGAAAAAGAATCCGTCGCAAATTTGCGAAGAAAAAAAAAATCCGTCGCAAATTTGCGATGGAAACAAAATATATTCGTCGCTAAAATTTGCGACGAAATATAAAATTCGTCGCAAATTTAATTAAAAAAAGAGCGCCCCAAAGGGGCCCAAAGGGGCGGCGGCTCCTCCCCCCGTCGAGGGCAAGGAGGTGGTGGTCGGCGGCGACGGATCGGAAGCAGAGGATCAACATCGACGACGTGCTCTCGGCCTCCGGTACGCGCGCGCGGTCTTCCACCAGATGCGCCGACCCAATTGCTTTTCTTGGAACTCCATCATTATGGCTCTTGCCGAGAGCGACGACGACACCACAAAGTTGGAAGCTCTGGCCCTGTTCCGCGAGATGGTCCGGGGTGGCCACGTGGAGCCCAACGGGTTCACGTTCCCTCCGGTGTTGAAGGCTTGTGCGAGGTTGGGGATGGTGAAGGAAGGGAGGCAGGTTCATGGGATGGTTGCTAAGTGTGGTCTGGATGGTGACGAGTTTGTTCTTAGTAACCTTGTCAGAATGTATGTGCTCTGCGGTGTCATGGAGGATGCTTACGTTTTGTTTGATGAGAGAATTGTTCGGAGTGGTGGAGTGGGGAAGAAGATGAATCTCAGGAGGCAAGAGGGGGACGTGGTTTTGTGGAATGTGATGGTCGATGGGTATGTTAGAATGGGGGATCTTAGAGCTGCTCGTGAGCTGTTCGATAAAATGCCTCAGAGAAGTGTTGTGTCATGGAATGGGTGACTTTGGGTGTGTTTTTGAGATTGGCCCTATTTTTAGGGCAGAAAACTCCTTCACACATAGGCATTTGTGTGAATTTACTGGCCTTGATGTTGAAATGGAGATTAAGAAGCACTATTGTGAGGTTGGATTGGATTCTTTTTCATTTAACTGAATTTTCAGTTTAGCTTAACGAACTAAACGTTTATGTGCAGGTAATGGACATTGTGGACAAGTTGTTCGTTACAATGTTCGACTCATTGAATGCGAGTTGCAAGAAAGAACTTGAAGCTATTGGAAGACAATACCCCTTTGAACCTTTAAAGGTTATACTATGATCTTTTTTTTTTTTTCTTTTTTGCAATCTGATTACATAAATAGTGCAACTCATGGGCAGTAACTTTTAATTGCAGTACTTGAGAAAGACCTTGTGGCTTACTCTTCAAGAAGATGTTCAAATGCTCAAGGTGAGGAAAAAATTTTCGGCAGCTAAATAGCTGCCCATAAAAAAAAGGGAACAAATAGAGTAGCAACATATCGGTTCATTGGCACTTCTATATCATGGCTGTAAAAGTAGGACAATGAGTTCTCTTGCTGATTTTTTGTTTGTTGCTTTTAAATGAAACTGTTGTTTGTGGTAGCACTCCTCTTACCTGATGATTTGTTCTGTTGGAAGAGGAACCGCAAGAAAGTGATATGTACAAGTATATGCCGTGCACGTGTACATTGGGGGCTGATTTGTTCTTGGCTTTTGTTGCTTTAGCTTGATTTTGTTGTTTGATCTGATTCAGGGCTGATTTTGTTGGTTGTTTTGATATTCGCGAAAATGGAGGATCTCGTGGCTTTGTTTGAGCCCATTGCATTGTCTCCATCGGAGTCTTCGATAATATTGCTACTCCTGGTTTTCTCATGTTTGCTTTAAGCTGGTTTGGTTTTGTTGTCTCTGTTTTTTCTCTCTTTTGACTGTTCTCCTTTCGGCTCTACTATAGCTCATAGCATCTGAATATATTTTACTCGTATTCTTGCAATGCAAAGGAAAAGAGGCAATAGATTCTAAGAAGCAAATGTGATTTGGTATGTTAACCTATATTGGCATATTGTATTGGGCTACATAGCTTAGCTGGGTCAAAGCTGATGTGATTGGTTCCATCTTTTTCCTCTCCTTGCTTTTAGTCGTGGGGCTTGGGTTTTTGAGGATGGGAATGAATGGGGCAATCAAGAGTCCAAAACCCCTCTTTTGTCTTCTGGTCTTGGGGGTTGCACCAGGTGTTATTTGCTTTTTTAGAAAATACCCTGTGGGAAAATTATGGCTTCATTCAAAATGATTGATTATTTGAATGCAGTGATACCTGCTTAGAATCATGCATTTGTGGAAAGTCATGTGTATTTGTCTTTGCACGTTGCGGGTGCTGGAAGCACTCCACTTCATTATGCTGCTTGTGGTGGAAGTGTGCAGTGTTGTCAGGTATTTTGTGGTAGCTAAAAGATAAATAGCATCCAATATCATTCTTTATTTTGTTCATGTCACTTACATAAATGTTTTTTTTTGTGGTGGAAGTGTGCAGTTGTGGACAGTGAACCAATTTGGAACACCTACGTTGCACCTTTGTTTCTTTACTTCTATTAGATTTATCACTGAAAGTGGACTTCAACATTTTTCCTCTATATTTCATTTACCTTCGTTGCTTTACTTAATTAAGATTGCTTGCTTCACAGTCATTATGTATCCTTTAGAAGCTGAATATATTAACATTTAATGTGGACACAATGTCACTAATTTTGTGTCTAATTCCAGACAATTTGTGTTTTGTAGAAGAATAGCTTTGAGCAATTCTGCATAAGTTATGCAAATGAGAGGTTGCAACAACATTTCAACCGGCATTTGTTAAAACTGGAGCAGGAAGTGAGCATCTCACATGGACCGTGTCTTTATTTTTGTTTAGTATTTTATATGATGGGGATTGTCGCTAAAAGCAGGATATTCTTTTTTGATTCCAATCTGTCGTCATTATTTATTGTGAAAGATTATTGTGCAAGATTATTTATTCTCTCATTATGTGTACTATAAAAAAAATGTTTATGTCAATTATTGTGGAAAATTTAGATGAATGTATTTCATTTTCATATTATTATAATATTTTGATGTTATTAATTGCTTAATCAATGTTAAATATAAATTCCAAAAATTAATTTTGCTTTTAATTAGGTTTAAAATCAAAAAATAAAATAAATTATTTTATCGTACGATCACAAATTACAAAAGTTCGTTGCAAAAATAAAATTTTGTCGCTAATTTTGTCCCTAAACGATAATCGTCGCAGAGTTCGTCGCTAAAGAATTAATAAAAAATCGTCGCTAAATTCGATCATAAATAATGTTGATGGCAAATGTAAAAAAATTTGGTGGCAAATTAGCGACGAATTTTGCCATGAATAAGTTCGCTGCAAATTACTGACCAAATTTTTTTTTTTGGCAAATTAGCGATGAATTTTGCGACGAATATAATTTGCGGCAAATTAGCGACGAATTTTGCGACGAATAATTAGCGACAAAATTTGTGACGAATTTTGAGACTAAATTTGTGACGAAATTTGCGTCGATATTTGCGACGAATTTTGCACTACATTTGCAACGGAATTTGCGACGAATTATTTGCAATGAATTTTGCGACGGATTTTGCGACGAATTTTGCGACGAAATTTGCGACGAATTTTACGACGAATTTTGCTACGAATTATTTGCGACGAAATATTTGCGACGAACTTTGCGACGGATAGTGTTCGTGGCTAATTTGCGACGAATTATTTGCGACGAATTTTTTTTCCGTCGCAAATTTGCGACGAAAATTAATATTTTCTGTCGCAAAAATTTGCGACGACCTAGTAGCGACGGAAAAATTCCGTCGCTAAATTCGTCGCAAAAATGATTTGCGACGTATTTTTGCGATTTTTTTATCGCAAAATCCGTCGCAAAAAGTATGTTTTTTTGTAGTGACCGATATCAAATCATTCGATTTCACATTTAATTGTTGCTAAGAAATCAAGCAAGCTCAAAAGTTGTCAGTTGGGATCTATTTGACACGTGCGGAATCGAAAGAAGTCCATCAATTCCTAGCCGCCCGAGGATAGCTATAGCGGCCCAATTCAGAGGTGTGAATTAGGATGGGGACAAGTCAGAGGTCAAATAATTTAATCCCGTTTGATGTACGATGGCCAAATTCCGGGGCTTGGACCACGTTTTAGCAAATCCTCTAATCTAATTCCGTGATCGACTAAGAATTTCGAGTTGAAAAGTTAACGAGATTTGTTTCATAATCTATAGTCAAGATGTCATATGGAATCCTAGGTATTAGATATGGTTTGGAGCATGCCTGTAAACTCTTTTGATGACGTCGGGCATCGTGAAAGCCGAGAAATACAAAGAATAAAAAACATGATATAACTAATTAAGGGTGAGCAATTGGGCCGGTATAACCTAAAAATCGAACCAAATCGGCTTTACGGTCGACAGATAAATATGTTGGAGATTGATCTTGAACTTGAGAAGGTTAGAAAGTCGTTCAATAATGTAACCACTATACCACAAATTATTGCACAGTATATTTTTCCAGAATAATAGTTATTTGACTTAAAGTTTGTTTGCCTAACAGGCATGCCGATTCCTCGATCGACCTTGGAGCCGCTTGATTTAGTTTCAGGTCGGTTCATCGGTTCGATTTCCGGTTTCATAATGCAAATCGACTTTTGCATGGTAGGTTCTAGGTTCTTAGTATAATATCTACCCACCCGAAAACCGATCGCTATTTAGGTAAAACACACGCCCGATGATCTTATTTGGAGTCGATCGTTGGATGAAAATAGATAGAATTAAGGGAGACAATTTGGATTGAAAATGTTTATGTTCGTACTCTTTTTGTTCACATCAAATCCGAGGTCTTGCTCAAGTTAAAATATCCTTGTCTTGAAGACTTTATAACTTGGTCACTTTGTCAGAAAACCATGTGGATACATTGGCATTTCACTTCTGCGCATATGATAAGGACATTTCCAACATTTGTACTTCGTTAATGGATAAAATCATGCATGATGAAGTCTAGAGTTATGTGGGCCGAGTGGGCCCGTGAAGGGTCTCATGAAATTTCTGTAAACCCAAATGGCCGGGTTGGGCCGGGCTTGGCCCATGACCAGCTTATGGTTCATCATATCCAAGGTCGATTGTGACCCGAAAACACCTATAATTTTATGTGTAAGAATATTTCGGGTGAACTCTCAAAATGTATCGGTTGCCCAAGCCTGCCCATCTTAATAATCTTATGAGTAAGTCGAGTCGGGCTAGCCTCGATGGGCCAAAAAAATCATGTTTAAGCCCATCCAAGCGATAAATAGGACGAGCTGAAGTTCTATTTGTAAGGCTTATTGATTCATGTAGACACATATATAGATCGTTCATGAATCGTGCTTGTTGTGAGGTTGAGGCAAGGTGAGGAATGGAAATGAAAGTGCGTGGCGGTATAGGATCTCCCATGACATCACTTTGATCACACTATCAAGACTTATTTATGAAATTTGATTTATTAAGTGATGCGAGACTTCATCGGTGGTTATTTGAGTGAATGAATCCTTGTGAGTACCTAATAAGAATAAGCCATCTCAAATTGTAAATAAATTCATTGAACGGGTCTTTTCCATCACCTCGATCGATAGATTCTGTGTTCGAATCACGGCATCTCCTAGTCATATGTTGGGAAAACCTTCATTGACTTTGTTGATTCAAGGACCATTTGGCAGCCGGTCTAAAAACGAGCATTAGTCCTCAACTTTACCATGCACTTTAGGAACACCTTCAATTTTAGCATGAAAATATGGTGTGCAAGGACGAGTTACTTAATTTCGTGGCACACGACAAAGTAATCACGATGCGGGCGGCAATTCAAACTCTCTTCGTCTCGTCTTTGTGTCAAAGAAATGACTCATTCGTGATCCACTCTTTGATTCATTGACTGCTCTAAAAGAGTCACGGGACATTGCTTCAATTTCATCACAACAACAAAAGCATCGAAAACATGTTTGAGTAAGCGCCAAGTGTGCCCACAATAGTGTTTCCAGTAAAGAAATTTGATACGTAAACACACACACTCGTACCCGGAAACGAAAAAGAAAACCCTTTTGGAAAGAAGAAAATAGTTGGGGATGGACCACATGCATAAACTCGAAATCTATATAGAATGTTGAATTTGGTGAATCTCACGGGTAAAGCATGTGTGTCTCGTCTGGTTGAATGGTCCAAATGTATTTGAGTGCATGCAATACTGTCTTGTCAAAAAGCTTTAGAAACGACAGTCAGCTCTCCTGCCAACGTAGGCTAGTAGTACTTTTCAGATGGTGCAATTGTTCTACTATTGTTTGCGACGTTGCGGCTTGATTGATGCAAGATGGGTATTCGATAAGACTACTCAAGGTAGTGCCTATTTTGAACAAGTCTCTGCTCATGTATCAAGTCATATGATATCTCTCCTCCTCGACCTGAATAGGAGCGTTACAACATGAATTTCGGATAGTGACATGCATTATATCCTTGTACATGAACGGTTGAGTCGGTCATCATTCTGTCCTGACTCATTCTGAGCAAGGCCCGCGATGACGATTGAGCGAGTAGTGGTTATTGGGTCGGCTGGACAAGGCTCTGACCCGCTACCTTGAGGGTAAAGGCTAACTCAATGCATGTGGATGAGACGGTTTGCGCGCAAGTTGAGTCGCAAGGTTCGAATACCTGTTATGAAAGCAAAAGCCAACTGGACTCTCCAAAAGTTTCACCGTGGATAAGCATGTAAGCTACGCAGTCAGAAACGGGAAACATTGGGAAACAATGGGGCGCACAAAAAGAGGGCAGAGCGAACACGATTCGGAGGAAGCATGGAACAGATGTTTCGGGCGTTACGTGCAAGGCATGTCTTTGAGATATACGTAAAAAGCTCTCTCTTTTAGGCCTTAGTGGGTCGTGTTGGATGTGCATCGATGTGTTCAACAAGGCCAACTTTAAGGACAAGGAACAAAGAAGAAAGGCTTCTACTGTTGTCTGGGTTCCCTAGTAACTATCGTTGCTGGACTCAGCATCCTGATTCAACAGTTGCTTCCATTGTCTCTCTGCTTTTAATCTGATGTTGATGCACTGGTGTTCCTGGAACGATAAGAGTGTTCGAGAGGCGGCTATGGTTCCCTCTCTCGCATCTATCTTTAAGTGCGTTCGTTATTCGATTGAGATCACCCGTATGCGATTCTGAAACATGTCGAGTGATTTTTTGGTTCGAAAAGCATATCTTAAGATTTGCATAAGAATATTGAAGGTCATATGCGAAACCGTCTACTATTGGAGCTCGAATTATTGGACTAAGAATACTATATATAAGATTAAGACCCTTTGAAACATCAAAGAGAAACTTTATAAATGCATTTAACATTCTCTCTCACATGCAAACTAGATTGGCACGTGCAAATAAATAGGGGGTGAAACCGGCACTGATTCCACTAAATGGGCAGTCTCATCTGGACCTATCGTCAGCATGATATTGTCTGCTTCAGTTGTGGTTCATCTGCACCATTGCTGATTTAATATGCACCAAGCTAAGTTGAGATTGTGTGGAACTTATCTAATTAGCATTACAACCCCCTTTTTACATTATATTTGACACTTAGCATGCCTACCCTGGCCCCGACACCATTGTAGTTAGGCATCCTATTCAAAAAGCTTAAACTTAGACTGTGGTGCTGAATAATTTAATCTTATCACTCC